CTCCATGACTCATGTGCCAGTCAGTCTTCATCACCCTCTCGCCGCCTCATATTTTATTTTATTCTACGCGTTGCTGTTTATCTGTCAGTGGCGCCGCCCCCTCCGTTCCCCTGGTGACCCGTCGCTCTTTGAAGTAACTCGTCCTCCTGTGTTCTCACCACCTTGTTTATCTCCGCCGTCACACCTTTGCCTCTCCTCTCTCTCTCTTTCCGTCACCCGTCTCACTTTGTGTTGCCTCCCCTCAGATGTGGCCCCCGCGGAGCAGGAGAAGCTCTTCATCCAGAAGCTGCGGCAGTGCTGCGTTCTCTTCGACTTCCTGTCCGACCCGCTGAGCGACCTGAAATGGAAGGAGGTGAAGCGGGCGGCCCTGAGCGAGATGGTGGAGTACATCACCCACAACAGGAACGTCATCACGGAGCCCATCTACCCGGAGGTGGTGCACATGGTCAGTGGAGCCGCTTTAGATCGAAATCGACTTTATTGATTCCTCGGTGGGGATGTCACAAGCTGGAGATGATGGAGAAACTTGAGCAGTCTGAAGGAGAACGTTTGTGTGTTAAGCACCAGATCACAGCATGAATCCTGTCAGGACGCTGTGAGGTCACGGCCTGAGTTCTTTAGCCTCACTGTGTGGTAGCTGGTTCTACGCTAGAACATGTCTGCAGCCCTCCATGTGTTATAGCTCAAGGTTTCTTCTCAGTGAAAACTTGGTTCCAGCTTCTCTGATGATAGTAAAATCAATATCATCGGCTTTCTGAGTGACGTCTGAGGAAAACAAGTGAGTGATAAATGAGAGAGCATCCATAGATCTTCTCCTTTTTAAACCAACTCACCAGATTATTTAGTGATGAGAATAATGTCTAGCTGCTGCCTCAGACTTGATTAAGGATTTTATTTTCTTCAGGTCTTAGCTCCACGTTACTGTAAAAACACAACTACAGAGTCTACTTTTGAGGCCACCTGGGAGCTGCAAAAGCTGTTTTTCTTCCCCTCACTGCCGTTTTATTCAGCGTAGCTCCTCTAAACTTTTATTTCGGAGTCTTTCTCGCGGCGCTAGCAGAGCGATGCGTTCCAGCAGAAGAACTGCGTTTCTTCTTTATTTCACAGCAGCTGAGCTTCACCAGCAGAAGTCAAACCAGATCTCGGTGATGACAGATGTTCTGCTCACCATCTCACCGTTAGCGAGCAGAATCTGAACCACGATGAGAAGACGGTGATCCGGTAACGTCCGGTTCTCCTCTCTCAGACCCGAGCCGTAGGAGACGGTTTTATTTAGAGTCTCCATGTGCTGTTCTTCTTCTCCCTGTGACGGGCCGGAGTGCAGAACAGCACCAGGCAGTCTATCTACCTTGTAGCCTGTCTTCTGGAACAAGGCTCCAGTGTTTAGTAGGCCACCTGCACTGTCCCATGATCTGCCTGGCAGCCAGCAGCAGCCCACAGGGGAGTCAGTTGACACTGTGAGAGACCAGAAACACAAGACACTTGGATGATTGTGGGCCAAACCCTTGGAGGCCAGTTGCAAGGACAAAGTTAACATTAACCTAAAAAGAGAAATTATTTTCAGGTCAAGCTGTGTGTGTGGCTCTTTTTTATTATTATTATTATTTTATTTTGTGAAAGTCTCCATTCTTATTTCCTTATGAATTATAAATAGTATTTAAATAAACTGAAGTTCACGTTACGACCAACCAAACCAAACAACGACAGGAAGTTTGCTGCCATGCCGTCCTTTCCTTGGGAATTAACAAACATTTCTCCTCTTTCTTCCTCCAGTTTGCCGTGAACATGTTCAGAACGTTGCCTCCTTCGTCCAACCCGACCGGAGCCGAGTTTGATCCCGAGGAGGACGAGCCGACGCTTGAAGCGGCGTGGCCACACCTCCAGGTCGGCATTTCCATCAGCACCATGAGCGCTTTGAGAACTCTTAGCTTCAGCTCAGAGCAGGTTCTGTAGTTTGCTGCACTTTGTTTGACGTACGTATCAAACAGAGAAGCCGTCCTGGTAGTAATCCCAGAGAAGAATGTGGAGAATGCAGCGCTAGCGTTCAGGAAACCGCGTATCTGTGTCGGCTTGTGTTTGTAAAGAACTCGTTGCACACCTTGTTTTTTTTTTGTTTTTTTGAATTCCTTCCCACCGTTCACTCCTTTTGTGTTCTGCTTGTATCTGTTGCAGCTCGTCTATGAGTTTTTCCTTAGGTTTTTAGAGTCGCCTGACTTTCAGCCCAACATAGCGAAGAAATACATCGACCAGAAATTTGTTATGCAGGTAAGGACAGCACCTTAACGAGCTCTTCCCCGTTAGAGTTCTCTGAAAGGCTTCTAACACGTTGCATCGCTTGCATTCCAGCTCCTAGAACTTTTTGACAGCGAGGATCCCAGAGAGAGAGACTTCCTCAAAACCACCCTCCACAGGATCTACGGGAAGTTCCTGGGGCTGCGAGCGTACATCAGAAAACAGATCAATAACATTTTCTATAGGTTAGTGCCGCCCTCCCTCCCTCCCGCCCGCCGCGCTGCTCGTGTTTAAACGTGTAGAGCGGCTTGAATGGTCGCCGCCTGACTCACTGGCTGTGAACAGTTAATGAGGAGTGTGTGTTTGTACCTGCAGGTTTATCTACGAGACGGAGCACCATAACGGTATCGCTGAACTACTGGAAATACTTGGAAGGTACAGCAGCCGCAGTGTGTTTGTGCTTTTTGTGCAGCTTTTATATAAAAAAAAACGACATTTCGCTGCCATTTAATCCTGCAAATATCCTCACTGCTTTTCTTTTTATTTGTTAACAGCATAATCAATGGATTTGCCTTACCACTAAAAGAAGAGCACAAGATTTTCCTGTTGAAGGTTTTATTGCCTCTGCACAAAGTCAAATCACTCAGTGTCTACCATCCACAGGTAGGTTTAGTCCGTTTAGAGTCCTTCAGAGCTGTAAATCTGTGTGTGGAGAGGGAGCCATGTGGCGCATAAATAATTTAGAGCTCACATTTTTGCAGAAATGTATTTACATGTTCTTGCTGGAGCCTGCTCCCAGTGCACTCCTGCTGCTTTTATGAGAGCAGCAGGTCATTGTGCAGGTTGTTCTTTTTCTTTTTGGTGTTGCGTGTTCCAGCCAGTCCGTCCCTCAGGCGTCCTGCGTCCCCTGCCGTGTTACCTTCAGTGTGCTCGGCGCATAAATTCAAGCTGCTTTGACAGTTTAATGATTGTTTGTGTTTTGCAGCTGGCCTACTGCGTGGTGCAGTTTTTGGAAAAGGACAGCACTCTAACTGAGCCGGTACGACACACACATGCTAGAATGAGCTGCACAGTGCTGCTCATCTAATGTTCAGGCAGCTTGTTTTATTCCTTTATCCTCCCGTCATCATCATCATCATCATCCTTATCCTCCTCCATCGTCCCAACAGGTGGTAATGGCTCTGCTCAAGTACTGGCCAAAGACTCACAGTCCTAAAGAGGTGATGTTCCTCAACGAGCTGGAGGAGATCCTGGACGTCATCGAGCCTTCTGAGTTTGTCAAGGTGCAGGAGCCTCTCTTCAGACAGCTGGCCAAGTGTGTGTCCAGCCCTCACTTCCAGGTATCAGAACCACAATCACAGCTTCATACCTCACAGCAGTAATGAGCACCTCCGGCCTCACTGGGTTCTACGTGTCCCTCAGGTGGCGGAGAGAGCTCTGTACTACTGGAACAACGAGTACATCATGAGTCTGATCAGCGACAACGCAGCAAAGATCCTGCCCATCATGTTCCCCGCTCTGTACCGCAACTCCAAGACCCACTGGAACAAGTAAGCTGCCCGAGTTCTCCCCACAGGCCCGCGTTCCTGAAGGCCCTCTGTGCAGCACGGCGCCAGTCTGGCACCGTGCCTGACAGCATGGTTCACATAGTGATCTCTGGTGTGTGGAGATGTTCCAGCTCGGTCACACAATGTGCTCTGCTGACAGCGTGTTGACGTGTCGCCGAACACGTTGATTGACGAGAAGCTTTCTCCAACAGGCAGCCTCATGGTGTCCTACATACGACTGACTCTCATTGTCTCATGTTGTCTGAGCTCTAGTTGAACGATCCAACTCCAAGGTGGCACAAACGACACTTACCGTAATGTCTGGACTATAGAGGCACCTGAATATAAGCCACACCCACTACCTTTAAACAGGAAACCAGGTGTGTACATATACAAGCTGCAGGTGTCTCTAAGCTGCAGGTGTCCACGTTGGAACATGAGATATTTACACAGGAAGATGTTTTAGCTTTAATTAAATGCGTAGCGGTAACATACACAGATACGTACCGTAGAGGCTTTTTTCTGAACACTTCCTGTAACACGGCTGGTTAAGGAAATAAAACTCCAGCAGCTACCAGGAAAAGTCACTGATGGCTATCTTCATCTTCCTCCTGCACTAAAACCACTAAAGTCGTCTTCTTCAGTGTCGCAGCCTCGGCGTGATTCGGTTCATCTTGTCTGCTCCGGTGATCGGTATAAGGTTCTGTTGTTATCAGACAGTGAGTGTTCTTTAGGTAGGAGCTGTTTGTACCTTCAACATGTTCACGTCAGTCTTCCTCTGAAACGTCACTGCCGTCTGTGGTGACGTGTCTTTATCAGCTGGTGGTTTCCTGGAGGCGTGACCCGTCTGGCGATCTGTCAGGTCTGCCTGACGGGCCACGCCTCCTGGTGGTCTCTGCAGGAGGGCGTCCCATGTGTGGGGCAGCGTGATGCCCCCTCATCACGGCTCATGGTGTCTCTGGCTCGCCTCCTGACTTCTGTGGCCTCTTTGATCCAGCGTTTAAATTTGTTGTTCTCCGATCCGATGATGTGGAAACCACCAGCTGATAAAGACACAGACGTCAGTGGTACATGTCAGAGGTAGAAACAGCTCCTATCTAAGAAACACAGTCTGATTAAAACAGAAACCTTCCACCTGGACAGCCTCAGAATCACTTCATCACCTCCTCAGTCTCTCTGTCGTCGTCGCTCTCAGCGTCGCTTTGGTCTCGAGGCAAATTCATAAAAATCCATAAATTAGCCACGTCATTGTTTAAGCTGTGAAAAGACTAGCGGCTCATAGTCCAGACATTACGGTAATAGGATGTGTGAACCCTTCAGCTGCTTGTCAGGGATGTTGTTCGATGTTCAATCTGTGATATTAGCTTGACGCTTTCAGCTAAACCGGCTTTCACAGCGACGCCGTTACCTCCCTCTGACCGACTCTGTGCTGGTCTGTGTGTCCACAGGACCATCCACGGCCTCATCTACAACGCTCTGAAGCTCTTCATGGAGATGAACCAGAAGCTCTTTGATGATTGCACACAGCAGTTCAGGGCCGAGAAAAACAAGTAGGCACCAGAGTCTCTTCCTCTCCACACTATTAATCTGAGCGATGCATGATTACAGTCAGGCCTGATGCTGCTGAACTGTTGGATGGGTTTGGCGTGATCCGGTGTGATGGAACCGGCCGGTGACGGGACGCTTGTTGCTTTGTCTCCACAGAGAGAAGGCAAAGTCAAAAGAACGCGAGGAGGCTTGGATCAAGATCGAGAACCTCGCCAAATCGAATCCACAGGTGAGCATGGAGTGTGATGGTTTCTCTCCCCTCACCACCAGAGTGTGTGTGTTGGTGTGTAGGACTGTGAATGAAGACGTAGTGGAACCATAGCTAATCAGACAGCTACACGTTGTTCTCTTCAGGCTCTGTGTTCAGCGTATCTGGCTTTTAAAATGCTTTCATTCAGTGTTAAAGCACCGTACGCAGTCCTAGAACTGCAAGAAGATGATTGGCTGCTGATTGTTTCTGTTTTAATTTATGTCATGTGTGAAAGAGCTCCTTCACAGACGATAATAATAACGAGGCTTAGAAGATACCAAACGCTGGTTTGCCAACATAAGCACTCCTTAAAAAGCAGGTCTGCGCTAAAAATGACAGCACGAGTGTTGTGGACGACGTTTAGTGTAATTAGAATGACAATGAAGAGGTCCATCTCTACACCTTCATCCTCACTAGGGTCATGGGGGCGGAGTCTATCCCAGCTGACTCAGGGTGAAGGCAGGTTCACCTGGACAGGTAACCAGTCTATCACAGGGCTACACTTAGAGACAGACAACCAAGCACACTCACATTCACACCTACGGACAATTTACAATCACCAATTAACCTCAGCATGTTTCTGGACTGTGGGAGGAAGCCGGAGAACCCGGAGAGAACCCACGCTGCACGGGGAGAACATGGAGACTCCACGCAGGAAGATCCCGGGTGTCCTCACCGGGACGCAAACCGGCGACCTTCTAGCTGTGAGGCCACGGTGCTAACCACTGATCCACTATGCAGTGATTGCAAACACATCACAAAAAAAAAAGAAGATATATGACAGGTGAAACAAAATCAACCTCCAGGGAAAAAAATGATCATCTTATAACAAAAAAGTCTAAAACGTCATCTGGCTCGGTTCTGGCTCGGTTCTGGCTCAGACGTGCGTCGCTACCAGTGGAGTCACACAGCTGTATTCATTAACTGCCTCATTAAGCTACAGGACAGATGTGGAGGGATACTGAAGCATCCTGTGTGGTCACATTCAGCCAAATGTTCTTTACACGACTTTTTATCATCGATCAGGATCATAAAGAGCTTCTAAGATATTGATCAGCTGACTCAGTTGGAGGACGTCAATCAGACCTCACGCTGCACGTTTTCCACAAAATGTTTAATCTGATGTCGTGCAGCTGCTTCTGAGCCCCTCAGTGTTCACCACACCGTGTTAAACCGCCTCATCTCGCTCACAGCTCTTTCAAACAGACTTTATTTTCATGTCCATCATCTCAGAGTGAATGATGGTGAACACAGAGTCTGAGGAACATGTGTAGCTGCCCAGATGTTTACGGACCTTTGGTGTCTTGTGTTGTGTGTGAGTCGGTTTTGTTGCTGGATTGTAGTTCCTTTTCCATCTTACCCTCTTTAGGTTTGTGTGGAGTGTTTTTGCTTTTTTTTTTGTTCATTCCCCAACTTGAAAGTTACCGTTGACCAGATGACACCGCTGGTGGATGGAAAGGTCTTGATGAGTGCGTGGGGATTGGTTGTGGTGTACGGTTTAATGAGACGTCTCTAAAATCCAAAAAACAAATCTGATCAGGTTGAAATTAAAGAAAAACTCATTTTAGCATTCCACTGTAGCACGATGCTAACGGTTGGCTGTTGTTTAATGACCAGGTCAACATTCTAGCAAATAATCACATCATGATTTCCTCTCTGAGAGTTGGATGTGACGACTGATACGACTATGCTAAACACGAAGCTACAGCTATGGCAGTTAGCTTAGCTTAGCTTAGCACAAACACTGGAAGCAGCTCGACTGGGTCTGTTAAGTCTGGTTAGTCGGCACATTTTTCATTCCGCCTTCTGAGAGCCATGCTAGCTGCTTCCCTCTGTTTTCAATCTTGGTGCTAAGCTAAGCTAACCACTCGCTGGCTGTAGCTTCATATCTGGTACAGGAAGGAGAAGTCGTATCACCTAGCTCTATATCACAGCGTCCAACAGAATCAACATTTCTATCAGTGTTTGGATGCTAACGTGGTTTTAAATCCTCACCAACCTTCACCATCGACGCTAACGCTCAGCTTCCTGCACCTCAGCTAACGCTCATCAAGCTGATGATTGCTAAACATTTGAGTTTCTTATTTTGATTAGTTCAGAGCCTTTTTTTTTTCTTTTTTTTTTTTGATTAATTCTTCTTTGCATGCGACTGAAAGTCTTTTCTCCATCCTTTTTGTGTTTTCCGTTTTTGTTTCCCTTTCTTTTCAACGTAGTTCTCTATGTATGTTGATTCCTCTGACCTCAATAGTCCTGTAGCAATGGAGACGGATGTCCCTTTGATAGAAGATGTTCAGAGGTTAAAAAAGACAGTTGAGGAGGGCGCGACTCAGGTAAACCTGACTTTCTCTCTGTCTCTATTCATCTTTCCCCTTTTTAATCAATCACTGAAAAACATTAACGATAAGCTCGTCAGGTCTCCAAAACGAAACCAGAGATGTGTGTATTTTGTGTGTTTTGCTTTTGTGGAGTCAAACTAAGTGCAGGAACTAATCTGGCCACAGACTGGAATCAAGAGCTTTGCTTTGTTCGCCTGCGTTTCCTGCATGTCGCCTCAGGAGCCCCCAAGTGTTCAGTGTTCAATAAAACGCTGTGAAATAGGAAACTGCATGAATAAACTGGAAAATAAAATAGAATTAAACTAGTGATGCACGATGTTAAAATGTCTGGCCGATACCGATGTCAAGATTTCTGATATCACCGATAACCGACATCACCAACGTCGATATTCATGTTTTTGTTCACACTGAAAAATGAGCATCAGTAAGAACTTTGAGAAAACTCTTCAGAAGAATCCCAAACTAGACCACACAGTCTCCTTTATTACGTAACAGTAAAACGTGTTTAAACATATTTAGCGTTAAAGGACCATTTAAGTAAAAACATCTGTGAAACAGCAGCGACATCAGACGTAGAGACGAAGGCGCTGATGTTAGAATATCATCGACTAAATCTGTTCATCGGACCGGTACCGATGTATATACCGTGTAGATATATCGTGCATCCCTACATTGAACAGATCGACTTACTTATTGGGGATTTTTGTTCAATCACTGCTGTCCTGAAAATGTGTGAAATGATGACATTTACAAGTTGTTCACATATTTAATATAAAACTTAAGATCTTATGTCTGGTCTTGTTTGTTAGACTGAACACTTTGGGGCTCTGCAGCTTTAGTCCAGGAGGTCTGATGTTGGTCTGTTTAATTCATTCTAAGTTGTTTTTATCGTTTCCGTCCAGCCACGGTTGGCTGACGACGCCTAGACTCGGGTCACGTTTACACGGAGCCGGTATCACAAAACCAGATCAACAATAGCAGCGTTCACACCAGATCATTGAAAAATAACCAAATCTTTAAGAGCTGCTGTGAGCTGCCAGACCTACAGGGGGCAGTGTAACGAGGAGCTTAAAGCCATGCTAGCCAATCAGAATCCTGAGCAAAACAACGAAAGCTTTTCCAAATCTCCACTTTTGTTTTTAGTGACTCGTAGCTTCGTTTAAACCCAGATGTTCTGACACATCACCGTTACTGCTGCGTGTAAACGAGGCCTCAGTCCTGTTTTATCCACTAATTGTTTGTTAGAGTCGATCAGAACAGGGATGATCTGTTGACAGCAGACCATGTGATGCTGAAGCCCGACTTTCCTTCTCGTCTGCTCTCCAGCTGCAGCATGACCAGCGTAAGGAGCGGCCCATGGTGCGACGCAAGTCTGAGCTGCCTCAGGATATCTACACCACAAAAGCCTTGGAGTCCCACCGCAGAGCTGAAGACATGTTGACCACCCACGACGGACTCTAGGTCCCACCATCTGCCGGCTCTTGGTTCAAACTGCCCCCTCCTGCCCTCGACAGCCATGGACATCTCCTGTGCCCGGGCGCCCCGCGACGGGCTTCATCCCCCAGAATCCTGAGTTCTCCTTCATTCCTGCTGCCCCGGTGCAGAAGACCTGTATCCACCTCCCTCAGATTTCTGCTTTCTCAGGTTTTTTTCTTTATTTGAAGAGGAGTGTGTCTGTGTGTCTTTTAGCCCTCGCGACATCCGCCGTGTTCTCCGACCATCCTCCTCCTCCTCCTGCCCCTCCACCTGCCCCTCCACCCCCGCCTGCCCCCGTGCACTCACTGTAAATGTGGAACCTGGAGGACAGACAGCACAACGCCGGTCGTCCTCCATCTCTCTGACCAGCGTGCTGGCAGTGGGTCGGACGTGGACCATAGGAGCTGCCGGACTCGCTGTCTGAGGATCACCTCTTGGTCTCTTCTCGGTTTTCTTTTCTTTCAAAGGGAACAGAAACAGACCCTGTTGTTGGAATGAAAGACGAGACTTTGCCGTCATCTGTTCTGTGTTCTCTCTGTTGTTTTGCTTTAACAGACATCTTGTCAGTGCCAAGACTGTTGTGTTCTTTATGTTGGTGTCATGTTTGTCATCTGTGGACGCCTGCCTTCGTTTCGGGTCGCTGGTGTTTGAGAGGTGATGATTTAGTTTAGTTCTGTTCTGTTGAGCACACTTGAGACCAAACTGAGGCCTGTCCTTAGCCTTGCAATGTCCAGGAAAGATGGCGAGGAAAGAGGAAGTTGTCCCGTGGACATCTCCACGCTTTCCGTTTTATTGTTTCGTGCCATACGCCGCTCTCTTTTATATGCTTGCTTCCTTACGTTCTTTGGCAATATTTGAAAACCAGACGTAGCGATGCCTGGCCGGGTCAAACAATGGTACTGTCTGCGTTTGGGTCGAGCGACCGAAGAGGAACCGGGATGGAAGCCGACGGCGTGGCGGCAGCGTCCTGGGTGACGGCTGCCCGCGGAGCAGAGCGGCCGGTGGGATATAGAACTATATATATATATATACAGTATAAATACATAGGGAGGATTTTAAAATAAATATAATTAGATTTTCTTTTACGGAGCTGAGTGGAAGAGGATCTGTGCAACACCTCGAGACTTTTAGCGAGTTTGGACCTGTTCTGTTCAGTGAGCATGTTCTGGTGTCGTGTGCTGTCAGAAAAACAAAATGATGAATTAAAATTTAATTTATTATCAAATGTAGGAGCTAGCGACCTCACGTCAGACCATCAGCAGACAAAGTGACCTGATGAGAGCGACCAAGAGAAAAGTGAGCTGCAGCGTGCTGGCGCTGGTACCAGAAGCTACCGTCGGGTTTCGTTTGTCCTGTTTGCGGTTGTTCCGGTCAGTACCATTGTTTCAACCCAGAAGGTCTGCTCGAGTTCTTCATATTTGACGTGTTGTATTTCTTTGTATTGTCTCTGGAGGTTCGTCGTGTGGACGTCAGGTTTCAGAACTTTTTCTTAGTACTTTATTTTTTTGGTTCCTTTTCTTTTCTGGCCGTTCAGAAAGCCCGGCGCTGGACCAGGCTGGCGTGAGAAGGCCACAGAAATGCCAGATGCTGAAAATAAACTGACATTGTGACTTGGCTTGTTAACTGTATTAATACTGTATTTGCTTGAATGCAAAAAGATGTAAATTAAGACGACCATGTTAAACATGTACCTTTACCCTGGAGGAATGCCATTGGCCCAGCCGATCCGTTCTGTTGTCGGCCTCGTCGCGTTTCTGAAACAGTCCTGCTTGCTGGGAGAGATGTTTCCTGACTTTTATGAGATGTTGGCGGTTTGTTTTAGTGCTGAACATCCACGATGAGGAGGTGATTTTAAATGATTTGGTGGCTTGTTCTCTCTCTGCAGGATCTTTGCAGATCTTTTAATTTTAACATATTATTTCCAAAACATGATAACTTAAAGTGTCCTTTTGTATGTGACCTGTACTATATGATTCATTTAATATTGTATATATGATTTACTTTGTTTCATGTAGTGTTATATATCTAGATTAATTTTGTACAAATTGTCCCTCTGTACAGAATAAAACATCAATAGCAAGTGGAAGAAGTCAATCTGGCACATACCGTCTTATTTCTCCTGCTCCGGCTGGACTCCAGCACCACCAGAACTTAGAACAAAATGCTCTTATTTTTATTATGAAAATCTGCAAAGTTTCCTCCCACCTCTAAATAATTGACAACTGTTCCTGCCCGTTGTGTGCTCCTATCACTGTCTTTAGTGGTGTAAAACTATAGAATGAATAAAGAGATTATTTGAATATATATTTTCAACCATGCATCCGTTTTGGCTTTACTGAACTCAGAGGGCTCGTAGGTCTGATGAGCTGCAGCGAGGACGAAGAGTTTCCTCTTCATCAGCTCCTGTTCGACGCCGATTCATCTGCTTGATTCTTCAGTTAAAACCTGTGATGTGTCTCCAAAGTCCACAACAGAACCTGAGAGTTCTGAGACCAGAGCTGAACCTTTCAGAGACGTAACTGGATTTTCTTTCTGCTCAGCATCTGGGATGGACGCTGGTGGTGGTTGTACGTTTCCAAACGCTGTAGGAGTTAGTTTGGAGTTTGTTATTGAAGTTTTAAACAACCAGAGGAACCAAAAAACACAAAACGATTTGGAAAATATCATAAATTTCTTTGACTCTGAAGATCCTCAGTCATCCAGGTCACGTCCTTATTGGGGGTTTGTTGCTCCGCCTCCTCCTCAGGATGTTGGTGGTCTCCTCAGATCTCTCCTCAGGAAGATGAACCCACATCCACACCCAGCCACACAGACCCTAACGAACCCCACTGTGTCGGGGGACCCACATAACGAGGGGGAGGAGCAACAAACCCCCAATTAAAACCCAAGCTCAGGTGTTAATGTCTCCTTCAGGATATCAGTATGTGGAACTCCCAACCAGTCAGTCAGAGCTGATGAAGCCTCTTGGATGAAGGTGGAACGTCTTCAAGGAGCTCAAGCAGGTCCAGCTGCTACCATTAAACTACGAGGAGAACAAAACTACGACATGTCTGTCTGTACGCTGATCAGCCACCTCGTTAACGTCTGTCCCTGATTCTGTTCAAGTAAACGTGAAAATATCAAAAGAAACTATAAACGTGATTCAACTGAATAGAAACAAAAATGTTTTCAGTCTGACGAGGCTGCTGCTGACGGGGAGTCCCACCGATTCACCTCATTATCACTGTCTGAGTGTGGAACAGGTGCACATCACGTTACACCAGGTACGACTGTCTGTGACCAATGAAAGGCCTCGAATCTTCAACCTTGGTACGTGTCAAAGGGACATTCACAGAAACACCAGGATGCAGCAGAACCAGCAGAACATTGGACTGTAATGAGGTGATCAGTGTTATTCACTCACCTGTCACTGGTTTTAATGGTTTATAACCATCATAACCTGCACATTTAGTGTCAGATAAAAGGTTTGTTATACAGCTAACTTCTCTCCATGTGTTTCAACGTGATGAGTTTTTATAGCTTTAGACAAAAAACAGGAAAACTTTATGATTTTGCGTCTGTTATTAATCGTTGGAGGGTTTGTGAGAAACCAACAGTCAGTCTGAACTAAACAGCTGAACTGAAACGCTCGACGATGACAGAAAGAAGCACGTTGACGGCATTTCTCTTCTTCTTCTGCTTTAACTGGTTTGTCAGTGAGCCACCTCGGACACAAGGGGGCGCCAGAGACCTGAGAACAGCCGTCCTCTGACCGGAGTCTGCTGTCGAATAAAACATCTGCAGTAGCGCTTTTAGCTAATGCAGGTCTGATCGTAGCATCAGGAGGTCACATCAGGTCCTTCACAGCTTTCGTGGAATCAAACGATCAAACCCACAGAAACGCTCCACGTCTGACCCGAGGCCCGAGTCATGACCAGTGGGACCACCATGAAGATGAAGGTCCACGGCTTCCCAGAAGCTTCATGATGCTCTGCTTTGTTCTGTGAAGTGATTCCAGCAGGTCTGATGGAGTGAAGCTTTACAC